ACTAGGTTGGAGGCCATCGTTATTGGGTTGGAGGCCATCACTCTCAGTTGGAGGCCATCGCTACTAGGTTGGAGGCCATCGTTATTGGGTTGGAGCCCATCGCTCTCAGGTTGGAGGCCATCGCTACTAGGTTGGAGGCCATCGTTATTGGGTTGGAGGCCATCGTTATTAGGTTGGAGGCCATCGCTACTAGGTTGGAGGCCATCGCTATTAGGTTGGAGGCCATCGCTATTAGGTCGGAGGCCATCCCTCTTAAATTGGAGGCCATCGCTATTAGGTTGGAGGCAATCGCTCTTAGGTTGGAGGCCATCGCTATTAGGTCGGAGGCCATCACTCTTAAATTGGAGGCCATCGCTATTAGGTTGGAGGCAATTGCTCTTAGGTTGGAGGCCATCGTTATTGGGTTGGAGGCCATCCTTTGGCAAAAGCCTTTGGCAAAAGCCGACACAACGCTTCCCATTCTGGGTAGCTCGCCATGGGGGACTTCGACCTTGGGAGTCGTTCGATCTTCGATTTCGGCTTGAAACGACAGAAGTCCAAGAGAGAAAAAAATGGTAATCTCAAGAGAGACCTATATTAGGGACCTTATTTCCTCTCTGAGACTTCTTACGACTTCTTTCTAACTGTCCCTTTTGGTGGACTTCACTACCACTTCAAGAAAGAAGACTATATATATATATACACATCTCTATAAGATTAGAGAAAGAGGACATCTCCTAGAATTTGTCGTTCGCCGCGCTGCTGCGATTGACACCTTGGACACCCTACATCTTCTTGCCTTGAGGAACCTGCGTGAGGCAAACCCCACTTAAGTCCAGATTTGAATCATGGCGACATGCATCATGCAACATAATTGTTGTTCTTTCTTGGTCCAATTCCAAGGATGTCCAGGACACACTGCCTGTTTTGCCACGCCACGCAGTTTCTGATTGGAATTCACAGCATATCCAGCAAGCCTTCCAGTTTCGACTTTACTTTATCGTGACAATTGCCTTACAGAGTTTATAAGCCATGACGATTAAGCATCAAACAACATTCAGGAACCCCTCTTGTGTTGCTTTGTATATTCTCACAATTTTTTGACTGAGAGGTATTGACATTTGAGTTGAAAGGCAGGCATTTACATAGCAGGTCTCCATAGCACATCCTTCGTGTGCGCTTTGGCATCCGCCAAAGTCTTGATTTGCACGAAATCTCTCAGTTCGCACCCTGGGCACACACCCGGTCTCATGAATCCTCGGCGACTGAACTTCGGTTGAAAGAACAAAACCCAAAGCGAAACACGTGAACACATATTCACATCGTGACGAGGCAAAGCCGAATTGCCTTGGCCACTTCGCCCTTCACGCAGACGTAGATGTAGTGAACGCTGTCCTTGTCATCTGCAGACAATGAGGCAGTCATACCTGCGATGAAGATGCAAATCCTTTTGTTCTGCTGAGAAACTTGTCATGAAACATGTGGCCCCTTTCAGCGTAGTGATCAGTGATCTGGTTAAAACAACTGTTCACGTCTTATTCAACCGCCATTCACAACTTCACTTGCTGGTTCTCTTGAAGAACGGATCCAAAACAAACATCCTTCCTAGCAAACATGTGCCACCTACAGCTTGGTGTCTGACCCATCATTGGCTTCTGCACGGTGTAGGTCTTGACATTCCATCCAAACTCCTCGGTGCAAAGCTGGTGAATGTTTCTTTCCTTGAACACAAAAACATACTTCTTTCTACGTCCGACACTGATAAACACTGGGCATTCTTTTAGCATGTCAAGTTGCTGGCCGCTGCAGGTAGGTGAGGCGATAGGATGGCTGCCCGTGAGACACGGCGATGTACACCCCGTTTGGCTGCAAAACCCTGGAGACCTGGCGATGAACTCGCTCCCAATTCGTGTGAGGTGTGAGGTGGGGCAACATCCGAATCGGCGAATGGCGTAACTCAAACAGCCGCTTGGTTGCCAAGTTGTAGCGTCAAACAACCCAAACACATAGATCTCCTTGCACACGACTACAACAAGCAAAGAACAATGAAGAAAGTGTTCTTGTTCTACCATGTAGTTGACGGACTTAAGTCAAAACCTCTATTGTGGGCCTTCCAGGCAAAAAAAACAAACACATGCATTGAATACATGACATACAGGAAACCAACATGTTTTTGTTTTTTCCAATGCAGAAACCCACAACTGTTTTTGTGACAATGGCTTCTTCTATGCACTTACAATATGAGAAGCCATGGTGGCTTTTAAATGTTTTCATGGTGAGAAGCCATGGTGGCTTTTGATTTGGAACATTGGAACATCACTCTGTGGTTACCCTGTGGCTGGTGAGAAGCCATGGTGGCTTACAAAGGGCTCTGTGCACTTTCGCATTTTTTCTCCACTGTTGCTTCAGTGGAGCTGGAAGTCACAGTGGCTTGAGAACCCCCCTCAGTGCTTGCCCTTGGTAGTGGTGGTGTCATCCAAAGATCTTGATTGGCAAATGAAAAGCATGTCGCTCACCGGGTAACATGAACAATCTTTGTTGAGTACAATAACAATTGGCAGCAGGAAGGCGCCCCAGTGTCATGATTGACCCTCCAACAAACAGCTGCAGCAATAATTGAAATGGGCGAAGCTCTTGCTAGGAAAGTAGGACAAGCAAAAACCAAGTGACATGCAAAAAAAACACATGTTTTTTAATGCGATTTGATCAGATTCTCCACCCACCCCCCTGCATTAAATTGCAACTGGTAAGCCCTTCTAAGCTGTGCGAGCTCACGTAGTGTCGCAATGTGTTTTGATCGGGATTTGGCCCCGTCTTCAACTACGCTTCAAGATTAAGATGTTTAGTACAATGAATGCGTTTCAAGCAATATCGAGCAATTGTCGGTTTCCTTCTCGTGATTCTAAAAATGCATCTCCCTGTTCTTCTACCCGTGTTTTCTTATACTGCATTCAGTGTGGTGCTTTTAAACTCAGCTCATTCTGTGAATTCAACTCATGGCCTCCGTCAACAGCTTCTGGGCGTTGTGTGTGGAGCCCTCGCCGCACAAGATCGAGTCCAGGCAGGCCTGTCAACCCGAACAAGAAAGAGACACCTTGCGCAGTTTCTTTCTTTCATATAAAGTGCTGACTATATATTATATATATGTATTATATATATATATTATATAATTACATATTTATATATACAGTATATTCTTTCATTGAGCTGAAACAAACATAGGCTCAGCTACTCTCATCATCCGTTCCCTGCACCTTGTCGATGACCACATTGAAGTTGGCATCTGGGAGCTCCATGGAGCGTCCATCCATCTGCTTGTATGTCAAGCCTCGAAAGCTGCTCTGGCCGCCGACCAAGGCTATTTTCATCAAAAGCGCAATTAGTCCGAATGTGTTGTGATGCAGAAACAATCGGAGCAGCGCTCATCATCGGTTCAGGTTGCGAAAGCTTGGATGATCCAGCATTAAACACATCAAGCAACCGGGCTTGTCGCGGTACTTCTCCTGCATTGCTTTGATGACTGTCATACAAAGGTCGATATTGGTGATACTGTGATAGCCTTCCTCATACATCTCCTGCACAGCGAGGGGTCTTCCAGGCGTCTTCTCCATTGAGTCTCTCCAGTCATCTCCAGTCATCTCCAGTCCCTTCCTTGATGTTTTCTCAATGGTGCTTGTGTCAGCAACAGGTCATCCTGCATGCCTTCTGGGCATAATGGACAACTAATGCATGAAAACTAGTCAAACGACACTGATGGAGACTGAAAAGGGGTCTGCAACATTCTACAATGTCTGTTTCTGCCCGTCAAAAAATCATTTATATAAGTCTCCGTCATCTCTGTCGGTCTCCTCACTGAGGCGTGAGTTGCCACAGCCCAGCATCAAGATGGCGTGGGAAGGTTGCGCGAACTCGGTGAAGGTATCCTGAAGATAGAGATGGTATGAGATGATAGGTGTTGGAATACAAGATGAACGTAAAATGACGGCAAATGAAGTTCGTCGGTACTGCGGCGAATGGATAAAGAGCTCTTGCCTTTAAAAGGCGTTCTTGCTAGGTGCTTGCACTGTTGATATTGTATTTGGAGCTACGAGGTACGTTATGGCTATAGTGCGGTGTTGACTCTTGGTGCTTTCGATGGCACAAACGATCTTCAAACGGGAAACCCGAAGAATGAACCGTGACATCGTGCTTGCCCACAATTCAGTGCTTGTGATCAACAGCACATTCTTCCAAAGGAGAATCCTTCGACGGGTTTCTCAACGTGTCTCAGTCTCAGTTTGTGACACCCGATGTGCTTCGCATTTCGGCCTTGAGCCCAGCCCATCGCTGATACCAATCAAAAGGCTCAGGATCCCTTGTGTAGCGCTCCTGGGAAAAAACAATCAGTCTAACAACAACAACAACAACAATTGCAAGCATGTTGCTCTATATTCTGAATATGTTTTCTTTCAATCTTCAAGACTGAAAATGATGAGCAACTCTCTGTTGTTTCTTCACTTCTCAGCAACCTTTGAACCCGACCAGGTCAGTTTTTCTTCACCTGAAGAATGCCTGTGGTCAACCGTCAACCCTTCTTATCTGCAGTCCTCCCAGTATTCGGCCTTTCCGTACTGAGCCATGGCAAGTCTATTTGCGTGAAATCACACAACCCAAAGACCAAAAGCAAAGTGGAAAAAAACAATCCCGTGCTTGTGATTAGCCGCGACCCGGGAAGCCTTGAGCCAAATCAGGTGAAACATGTGAACATCCCGCTCAAAGCTGCGGACGTCTCTGCGGAGGTATTGAAGCATCTCTAAGTCTCCGCAGCTAAATGTAAAACAACAAGCAACGAAGGGCTCTTATGGTTTCATTTCACTTTGAGATGCTGGAAGCCTTTCCGTTCAAGATGTTTTTTAAGCCAAGAATATGCTATCAGGAATCTTCTTTGGAGGAAACAGGCCTTAGCCCATTGCTCCATCTTCTGGTTTGAATTACAGGCATGGTTTGCAACCTGCTTTCAATGCCACAGGTGTATAGTGTACAGGTCAGAGCTATCAATCGCTCAAATACGAGCATTTGTCCAACCTGCTGCTTTTTGGCAGTTGCTCGTTTCGTTTGATCGATAAACCTGCCAGTTTCATCTCTGTCTGAATCAGGAATTACAACTTATTTCTTCAGCGCAGTCAAATGCGTCACCAAATCTTTCACATCATTTCGCATTCACTTCTTGACTTCCTCAAAGAGCCAAGAAACCCACTTGTCATCCAAAAAATCTGGAATATCTGTGTCCATACGGTGCAGCCTGGACCAGAAGTTCCAATGAATTCAGGGTAGAAACGCCCACCTCTGATCCCTGAAGGCACAAACTCAAATTGTGCTCTTCGCCTGCCTCCATGGAATGCCAGCTAATCTAAGGAAGCTATATAGAAGAAACACAAATCAACCGTTGAACTGGAAATTACAGAACAGATGTGAGCTATGCTCATTTCGAGCGGCGACACTCTGGTGGTGTCCCCGGCGGATCCTCCGTTCGGAGGCACCGCGAACTACTGAAGAGGGCGTCATTGTCCCGGACACCAAGTGAGGAACCCGGCCTAGCAGGCGCAGGGCGTAGCCGAGCGCCGCGTAGCACAGCCGTGAAGAAATGATCGATGTTTGAAGTTCGTGACTGCGGCCTTGCACTCTCGAATTCGAGACGGCCTCAGTCACAACACAAAATACGCTCAGTCACTGAAAAATATGCTCGAAACACAAGAAGCAAATGATTCCGTTCTCCAAGGTCGATGCCAAGTCAGCACCTTCAGTGTGTCTGACCTAGAAGCACCTCAGGAAAGGTCTAAGATCACAAACATTCAACAGTAGAGCACGCGCGCTTGTTGACAGCAAAAACAACGAGTCATTGGGTCATGAAAACAGCAGCATAAAGCTTTTTCTCCCATGTTGTAAATCATGTTCAAAGCAAAAGTTCAACACTCCCATCTCTTTTCTAATGTTCTTTTGGATTTCTTTGCTTTCACCCCCCTTGTTTCACCATATATTTCATCCTCTCGTTTCTTGTTTAGTCCAAGGCGCCGGAGTCTTCTGTTGGGAATAAGTGTTCGGCGTCTCGGGCCGTGTGCCATACTGTTTGCCTCGGAGCGCTGGCACCGGCAACAAGAAAGGAAAACAGCTGAGCCAACAGTTTGCATTTCGGCGAAATTGTAGCCAAGTCGACTACGGCACGGGATCAACCATGCACCACTCCACGTCGTGTAAATCAACATCCGCCCCAAAACATCCGCATCCCGCAGCAAACTCAGACTCCGGTGATGTCCCCCAGGGCGGTTACGCGGTTGGTGAAGACGTCCCCCACGCGCGATAGCGATTGGGTCGCTGGAGTTGGCGCTGTTTGTGTCGGCCAGGCATGCGCAACGACGCACGGTGCGCATTCTGCCCTAGTACCCTGTCCTATTACTGGCGCTTCATGTTAAACACTGCTTGTTAGAGGTCAAGAATCATCGTAATTAGCAAGTTCTGCGACTAAATGCTCTTGGACCAGCAAGTCATGTTGCACGCCCCATCCACTTGCGAGACGACAAGCGAGCAAATGTCCAGTTTGCCACTAGGAGCAAGGAAGCTACTAGGAACGATCCTCGATGTTTGCCTCGACTTTTCACTCATCCAGTATCATCCGGTATCCGCTTCAGTCGGGAAGACTTTCCGTTTCAAACTGATTGAGCAAAGAACCCTTTACTATAGTATGTCTTTGAAGCTTTAAACACGTTAAAATGCTCGAAAACGGCCATCGGCCACTGATCCTCCGGTAACCTCCCGATCAAGCAAGCACGTTACCCCTGTACCCCCTAAAGTTTGTCCTGATTTTGGTCTTCCAAGGCTGCGAAAATACCAATGTCCGTAGACGCATTATTCTCTGCAAAACTTCACTTCAAGGATGCAAATAACACTTTGATGCACTTTGGTTGCGGGACGGAGTAGAGCGGCTCTTGCCGGCAAATAACACAAAATAAAACCCATGCAGGCCTTGCAGCAAACCATTCAAAAGATTTCATAGTCGAAAACAAAGCTTCTCCAAATCTCTCCCTCTGCGGTCTTGCTCTGAGCCCTAAACGCCGTCGATCCCGATCCCCAAACTGAGCTGCTTCGCCTGGAGGCAGGCACAAGGCAGTGTTCTTGGCAAGATTTCGCACGCGTCGTGATCCGCTTGCTGCCGTTCCCCAATTGTCCAGAAAAGAATTTGTCAGACCTCTGATTTCAAAGTGTTCGTTCTGCAAAAAAGACACAGTCATCATGAGTCCAAAAGCATGAAACAAAATCTAAAATAGAAAGGCCTAAAGGACAAGAAGAGATAGGAACAAAAAAAGCAAGCCGGCCAGGAAGGAAGCGGAAGGAAGAAACATGTTTGTTTCTAGTGGTATTCTAGTAGTCAAGGGGTACATACTGAACCGTTCCCTCAAGCTCGCCTAGGTGTGGAGTTGTGCGATATGCAACGTGCATGCAGTGTTTTTGTGACAAACGCTTTAGAAGTGCTTTTGCATTCTCACGAGTCGAAGCGGTTCTTTCAAACTTTAGACTCTGGATTTATCCTTTGTCTCTTTTCCAACGGTTTCTAATTAAACTAATTAAGGAGTGCTGTAAGAATGTCGTGGGAAAGTGAAGGGGAGGTAGGCCGGGTGGACCCAAGGGCATCAAAATGAACTTGCACCTCTCATCGCCTCTCATCTGAGGTTCCAAACCCAACTTCTTTCCGACAGCGGCTTGGCCCATGCCCATATTCCTTGTTCCACAGACCACTTCGGCCGAAAACCGCCACCACCAAGACTGACTTAAATTTGCGAGGAACCGCTCCTCGTGCCGACTCTGATGTATACAGTACACACTGTATAATTATACTTGTTGTCCATGACTCTGACAGAAACACCTTTGAAGGGAACTGCACGACGGAACAAACACTTGAAGATGCTTGAAGCGTCTTCAGCCTGCCCTAAGGAATCCAACTTTCTGTGCGTTGCAAAGGTGCTGAATGTGGCCGAGTCTACTCTTTAGGTAAATTCTGTGCGGTCAACCTGGAAATAGGCAAACGGGACACGGCTAATGGTTGCACTTACATGATTCTCTTCCTTGGTCCCAGTGCAGGCTTGAAGTTGTTCGAGTGACCCCGAAGAGGCGACTTGGAAGAAGGCACAGTGTACTGACAGGCAGTGATTGATGTGCTCTGACATTTTTACTGCCGTGAAGTCTGACGTGTGACGTATGGTCCGACTTGGTCCTGGTATGTGCTTTTGCATGTATTCCGAAATTTGTTCTGCCTTCAAAGAAAGTGCCTATCTTGCACATTGTATCCTGGCACTCTATCTGGCATACATGCTGGCATTCTATCTTGCACTCTACCAGTATCTGTGGAGGTCCGGTGGTGCCCACTGCGATCCTGCACTGGCGGTTGAGGACCGGAGGAGAAGGAGGCGGCGGGACGGGACAACTCTGATAAAATCCAACAACCCTCACCTGGCACATGGGGATTTGAAGCACTAGTGGTAACAAGTGCCTTACTGGTAGTAACAAAAAGCTATTAGAATTAAATTAAAATTGACTTAAATTAACTAATAGCTTATTGTTACTACTAGTAAGGCACTTGTTACTAGAAGCGATGCACTTGTTCCTGGTAGCATCATTTCAATTAAGCATCTTTCAAAACTTATTTTCCAAACATGTGGGCAAACAGGCTGAGATGCAAACGGCTTGGGCTTTCTGCGCTCGGCAGATCCAAAGATGCCTAGCATATTCAACTCAGCTCACTTTGTGAGCGTTCCAAATATTAGCGGATTCTTTTCAAATACCTCACCAGCCTTACCATTCATCATTTATATATATATATACATATGTCCGTTTACCTTTTTGAGTCCGTTTTTCGTCCAATCCATGTAAGAACAGGTTTCGCCGGATTCACTCGCCTTTTTGGAATCATACCGCTTCATCTTCCAGTCACGTTTTGCTCAAAAACGGGCCAGTGCCACGGTCGCACTCATCTCTATTTTGGAGCTCCAAGGCTATCTCCTGTGGAAATTGCTCTGGAAACAGGGCCAGGTGGAACTCGAATCTCCAAAGGCTCTTCTTTGAGAAAACGCGTAACTACAGAAAAACTGGACAAGTTTTTGTACAGTGCAGTAATGTTTCTTCCTAGTGACTGTAATACTTTTTCCACACACGTTGCATTTCTCGTCCTTCAAATCACGATCCTTGCTCACCAAATTCAGCTGCGCCTCCTAGTGTGATGCTCGTTGCTACTAGGATGGAGGCGATCGCTACTAGGTTAGAGGCCATCGCTAGTGGGGTGGCTAAATTGGGCAAGGCTCTTGAGGTCGAAGAAACAATGCTCTGCGGCTACACACAGTTGCATGCTGCTGTAGCACGCCACTTTAAAACATGGCGAAACACGGCCAACCCCTTGGTGTCGAAATATCCCTCTCTCCCTTTCGGCTCAACTTGCGGCCAACCTGCCTGCAAGCGTCGACGCTGATCGGTGATTTGCTTCACGTCTTCCTTTGCATCACCGAGTCAGGCGGGCAACGAAGCAAACGTGAAGCACACGTGGCCACGGAAGTGGCGAATGCTGTCCCGAAATGTCACACACCCAAAACAACTCAAAACAAATCATTTTTTTTGTTAAATTTGTCCGATAGCTTTGTAGCTTCAACTTACTTCAGCACGGATTTGCCCATTGTTCAACACACATGTGAGACCGGCGATCCAAAGCAAAACGTCCAAAAGGACTACATGCAACAAAAATCAAAAAACAAGGATTGAAACGCCTCGTTCAAAACCCTGAAAGAACACCTCACATCTTCGCAAAAACGTCAAAGGAAGGCATCCTTCGCAACAGCTGTGCATGACCCTGGTTTGGATCCCCCAGCCTCACGGCTCTCACGGCTGGCGAAGCGCTTGGCCAAAGTGTCATGTTCCGCCTTCATCTCCGACTCCTGAAACCAATCCACATGAACAGTGCTTGCTCATTGACTCATGACGCTAAATGATGAAAGTTCATGGCTCTGCTCCGCAATGTTCAAAGTTGATGGCCGACGAAAATGAATTACAGCTCCAACTCCCCCGCCTTGATGCTCGTGATCTCCCGAGCAGCCTTAAATGCGGCTGCCAAACGCCTGGTTTCGACAGTCAAAGGATTCAAAAGCGACAAGGGAAGCTAGAAAGGAAGAACAAAAGAAAGGTTGAAGAATCGAGAGAAATAGAAAAGAACACATAGACTTACAAAAAAGAATGCATAATAAACAAGTACAAAGTGATACAAAGTGTAGTACAGTTAGAGAGAAAACTGCTGGAATCCACAATCAGAATTTCTGTAATCTATATTGATAGAACATGATAGAACTTAATCACCGCTGCATTTCTACGGTTTCTTCGGCACCTTTGTTGGGCATTGCCACCTTCCCATGCTTCGCGTACAGCCTCCTCCTGGAGAACGACAGCGATGCGTCCAATGCACTTGTGATGTCAATCTGCAACGAGAAAAGCAACATCTTTTGACCTCAATCTTCCGCAACACGTTTGGAATTAATGATGATTAATGTGTTTGGAGTGCGCATGGAATATTTCAAGCAGAACAAACAACCGCGGTCCTTTAGGTCTTTCCATCGTTCCTCTGTCTCTTGCATCTCCTGGTGTGCGTCTGCCTCGGCAACAGAATTTCAGGCTTAGGCTGCCTTACGCATCTCTGTTGCTTATTGAACCCTAACATCTTAGGCCCCAAACTAGCTGCTGTTGCAACACATGTCTTTCTTCTTCGGCTACGCGTTCAACATCGGCCAATCGCTCCTGCCGCTGCGCCAAAACACCAAAGTTGAATCACTTTGACCTCTTTGATGCATGTCATGCAAACAAAATGAACCATTGGGCGAGTGAAAGACAATGACAAAGATATCGAGTTTTGGTCCTCCAGTTCAGCCTTGACTGTGTTTAATCGACTTTCATACTCCTGCGCAACGCGCCCGATGCAAACACCAAAACCACAGGTAGGTTAGGTATCTGCACTTTTCTCAAGAGAGTACGTTCCCCCATTAATAGAACACAAAAACAAGACTCTTGAACCCATCTTTGAAGACTGTGAAATTGTACAACATCATGCCGAAGGAAAAGAAGTCATACAGTTGATAGCCCGTGGGTGGGGCTGCCCACCCACGAATTTAAACTTATCAATGCTGTACACGGCATCTCTGTGGGACAGCATCTCCTGTCTCTGTGCGTCCACGGCAGCCTTGGTTTACACCAGAAAGGCGAGAAGTGGCCGTGGAGTCTCTGTCCCATCCTTGAATCTCAAACAAAGACTAGTAGCTTCTTGTTCCTAGTAGCGATGCCCTTTGCTCCTAGTAGCGTCCTTTGCTCCTAGTACGGCCAGGAGTCTCTAGTAGCATCCTTGCTTCTAGTAGTAAGGCCCTTGTTCCTAGTAGCTTTTTGTTAAAAATTACACCAGCATAGACCCAGATAGCTAGGCAGAATCGCACGACCTATGCGACTGGCTGGAACAAGATGTACGCAGCCTGCACAGCCAGCTTACGGCACCTCCACAGCGGCACCCAGCACCAGCACTGGCACCAGCAACCTGTCTCCACCACGTGCACAGCCAGCTCACAGCACAAGCACCAGCACCGGCACCCAGCACCCAGCACCAGCACGGGCACCCGGCACCCAGCACCAGCACCGGCACCCGGCACCAGCGCCACCAACCTGTCTCCACCACGCGCAGCACCAGCACCGGCACCCGGCACCAGCACCAGCAACCTGTCTCCACCACGCGCACAGCCAGCTCACAGCACCAGCACCTGAACCCGGCACCCAGCACCAGCACCAGCAACCTGTCTCCACACGCGCAAGCTCACAGCACCAGCACCAGCAACCTGTCTCGAAAGCGCGCACGGGCAACTCATTGTTATTTGAAGTAAGAACCCCATAGCTTTGCTATCTGGGGAATTATACATATACTATGTTATCGGAAGAAATCTCGACTCTAAATCTACATCATGCAATAATCAAGCTCTTGCTGACTATGATGATTGTTAAAACCAACATGCTTGTACTGGTACTTATCACATCTGTTTCCCAGAACAAACTTGAGGCTCTGGCTGCATGTTCAACCAGAAGCTGAGACTTCTCATCATTCCAAAGAGCGGCCTGAGGATGCCAAACACATGGCATTTCTCACATGGTTTCTGTTGTTCACCCTGTTTGAATGTCAGATTAAGCTGTGTCTCATTGCATGGAATCTGGCCTTGTGGCTCATCATGACCTCCAAAGTGGTGATTTCACCTCAGAAAGCCGGAGACGTCATGGTACCGTGGCCATGTCATTCTTCTTCTAGTAGCGTTCTTGCTCCTAGTAGCGATACCCTTTGTTCCTAGTAGCTTCTTGTTACTATATAGTAAGAATGCTACTAGTAGCGATGCCAGGAACCCGTAGTAGCTTCTTGCTCCTAGTAGTAAGGCCAGGAGCCCGTAGTTCTTGTTGTCTTTCTCCTTGTTTTCCCTTTTCCTTTTTGTCTATGTCTTCTCTAGTGTCTTGCTCATTTTGTTCTGGCATGTAGTTGAATCGTTCACAAATGTCTCAGCAAGAGGCCCTGATGCCGTTGTCGCTCCTGGACAGGAGACATTGTCTTTTACATCCGCTGTCGCTAGCGAGCTGTGGCTCTTCGTCCCTTCCCCGTTCTCCTCTTCAATGATGCGCTCCGACTCTTGGCCTCGGAACGTCAAGGATGGTATCTTCATCGCAACTGTAATATTTCACCTCGTAGTTGCTCTGTGTTTTATGCATTTTACAACTTGCACCGCTGATTTGCCGTGCTCCCGGCGGAAGTCATCGGCCTTTGTCCGGGCCTCTGCCAGCTGTGTTTGCAGCTGCTGCGCCTGTGGAAACCCTGTTTAACGTTCCAACCACCCGACGCCATGCGACGGGATTCGTCGATCGAGAACGGCACCGAGAACGCCATGCGATTGCACCTTTTCGGGATTGTCCCTCCGGCCAGCCTCCTACGCCTCAATTTTTAGAGCGCCTCAATTTGTTCGACGTTATGTCGTTATATGTCGGCCTCATGCTCTTGTTCTTGTCGCAAGGACTCAACTTGTTCTTGCAGCTCATCACGCAGCCTGGCAACAAAACAGCACTGACCACGAACCTCTGTTTCAAGTTTATTGGCGAACCTCTTCTCAGTAGCTTCAGATTCCTGCTTTAAGACACGTAGCTGAGCTTTTGCCTTGGCAGTCAAGGGACCAAAAATGGTAAAGTGAGTGAAATCAAACGCTACTATGGCTGCCTTGAGCGTATCAAGGTTCAATGTGAAATTCAAGACCGGGGTCCAAGCTTCATCCAGCAACAAGTCTTTTCTCTGCAGCTCCTTCATCAAGTTACCATGTACAGTAGCACCCGAACGACTAGAAATCTCGCCGACACAAACTCAGATCATCTTGACCGCAACACTGCCAGTCAGTCTCATCCCAGCCATATACCGTTTCGGAAGAGTTTGCAGGAATCTAACAGAAGCTCTCATGGTTCTCCGAATGGTTCTCCTGAGTACGGCTCTCCAAATCTGCTTCAAGCGAGTTGGTCTTTGTCTCCGCCTGCAGTGCAAAAAACTGCACAAACATGTGTCGCAGATTCCAGCCGGCCATTTCACACCTTCCATGTTTTTTAAATCCAAATTTTACTAACGCCATAAGGGTAAATCACATGTCAGTATGCGCCTCGAAAGCACATATTTGGTTCTTACATTACAGGTTGGAAACACTTTCGGAACGTTTCTGTGAAGCGGCAATTTCACCTGTTCGCTCTCGAGCTTCATGCTCGCTCGCAACTCTCTGGCCTCACTGCGGTCGTGATGGAGCTAATTTCAGCTTCATCGATTTCACTGCCGTCCCACTGGTTTGACTAGATGGTATGTACGCATTAGCTTGAAACTTGAAAGGACACAAAAGATCTAGGAAAGCCTTCCAGTTTCCCTAAACATTCAGGAACCGGATCATCAGTGCAAACCCGAGCTATCCTGCGCACATATGTAGTAGTGTCCTATTCCTTACTAGTTTGTTTGTCCCTGACTTAATTAAATAGGCGCCTACTGATTTAAGTAAGGAGGCAGGGCCACGTACTTATTTAAAAACTCAACTTCCTATACTCTCTCTCTCTCTATCTGCACTATTGACCCAAAAGCCACAAATCGCCCCTTAAGACACAGGTCAAGGAAATTTTAGGATAAGGACTTGCAAAAACATGGGTCTGGTGATCTTGGTTCCAAAAGACTAGGGTTGAAAGAAGTTTCGAGGCCCTCAAGAGCTAAGGGTCTGTGCCTCCGTCATGGCAAGATCCAGCGCTTCTTGCACCCTTTGACGTTCCTGGACAAGATCCCTGCTTTTCGGAGCTTTCCTACCATCTGGGTCTTCTACAACATTCTTTGAAGAATGCTTAATTCTTGGAAGCAGTGTCCGTAGAAAGGATTATTGTCGACATTGCCAGGACAAAGGCCTGATAATGGTGCCTCTGGAGTTTCAACAGAAGAAGCTCCTTTAGAGCTTCGACATGCTTCAACTGACGCTGCAAACACAAGCGGAACTGTTCCTATCCGAACCTGCTCGGCAGTCTTCACCAATCTAGAGGCATCTTGCTGAGCCTAGAGCGACCACGATAGACACGAAGATCAAGCTGCAAATCTGCAAACTGCAGCTTGAGCAAGATGGATGAGAGGCCCTCCATGTCAAGCTGCCTCTGAGCGAACTGTTTGCTTGACCTCAATGAGCAACACTCGACATCCTCACGTGAGAATCTGCGAATGCCTGCCATGCTACAACACTGACTTCTGCCGCTGTTGCAACAAATGCTGAGGGCACACTTAATGGAGTGAATGTTGAAACATGTTGAACCAATTAGGATTGACCTAACACGATCATGTTGCAAAAGATATCTCCTCACTGCGTTCAGCTTTAACGATAAATAGATGTGGGTTGCTTGCAGTGCCAGGCTTCTGGCACTCTCAAGCTTCTGCTCTGCTGCAGTAGCACGGTCTCAGCATCAATTTGGATTCAAGTTTCAAACCCAAACAGCTCACGGTGCGATGAGGCCTTTCTGCACCTTTAGGAGTTCACTATTCATTATATAGTGGAATCATACACTTTCCATGTGTAGTCTTTCTGCTTGAATGCAATGAATGATTAGAACTACAAAGAACCCGTAGACCAAGTAATTTGAACAAGGAAAGCCTGATGTATCTAAAAGCTCTCCAAAGCAACTTGAAGATTTCCAAAGAAAAACCGGGCATGCCATGGCAGAACTGCCTGGCCTTTTGCAGAGGCCGCAGCTTTCTCTGCAGCACTGGCGCGAGCCTAGAAACATTTGTAGCCAACAAAGTAGTATATCTTAGCTCGTTCGGGTTTTCTACCGGGTTCCGGTAGAGTCACCATGTAGGTTTCTTACGTCACACCCAGACCGCAAATCCGTGGAGCTCTGACTTCTAGATCCTGCCTCTGCCTCGCTGACTTTGCCACTGGCCTGGCGCTCTCTACTTCAGCTCTGTACTTCAGTTCAAGGAGTACGAAGGGCACTGCGCATGTTTTGGGGCACAATCTGGCATTTGGAAGCAAACACATAGTAAAATATAAACAAATTCAATAGAATCGCCAAACTGAATTAGTTTCGATCTGAGTATGTTCAATCCAACAAATTGAAGAAAGAGTTGGTTCTGCCCCCCGTAACTCTCCTCTGCAAGCTGCTTCTTGGCATCTTCCAGCTTCTTGATGGCCTCATCTGTGGACTTCTTGGCCTCACGAGGAAGGCAACCCCCACTCGAAGAAAATCAACCCGATTCAGTGATTCGATTTGCACAGTGTGAATCGATAAAGCAAGCAGTGTAGTACCGATTCGGATGGGCCGCCCAGCCTGCGTAACCTCTTCCTTCTTTTTCACCAGTTCGGAGGTATCCTTTTTTGCTTGGACCACCAGAACCTCCTTCACCTGGGAATCAGCAGACAAAGTGTGCTTGACGTCGTGTTCCTTTTTTACCTCAAATGAGAAATGAGAATGATCAGAATGTTGCGCAGTGCTGCAGCGTATGCAGTGCTGTGCAGTGCTGCAGCTGTCGCTTGTTCGATAGACCACGCCTCCTGTGCTCGTTGCTCGGCAGCGGCTTTCCACCTAGGACGGTCGGGGTCGATACGCCACGCCGCCACGCCACGCCTCTCTCGAACAGTTTGCCCAGTTTTCGTTTGATCAAAGAAACACCCGGACTTTCCATGGGTCCAATCGACTGAACTGATTTTCCTCGGTGCATTTCCACCTCACCTGTATGGCCTCTCCAACCTACGAGAGATCAGATTCTAGAGAACCTCTATTCCAGTTCTCTCATACTGGCCCAGCCGAGGGTGACCAAATTTGCCAAGCAAACCCATGGATCCGGCGTGTGTCAGCTGACAAGCTGACGTCGGTGATCAAATCTACAAAACATACAAAACACCTAAAGACTCCAAAGCTGGGTCGAACACTCTAAAGCTTCTCTCTCTGCCTTTTGCACAGAGCTCTTCAGCCGCTCCACCTCATTTTCAACGCACGCCACCGAAGGGGGGGAGAGGCTCTTTGAAAGGGTTTGCCACACACCAGGTACTCAACACTGCGCTTGCACAAACGGAGTTCGATCAATTTGTGCACGGTTCACCTCCTTTTTTGAACAGTCGCATCCAAAAGACGCTCCTGCACTCTATGGGTTTTAAGGCAAATACATGTGAAAGAAGCGTCATCACACCAAGATTCCGGGGCCCTCTTTCAAGGGTACGACCGTGACAGCTTCATAACAGAACTCACCAGTGGAGGTCCACCATCCAGTCCAATTACCGGCTGGAGGGTCACTTGCGCATCGCAAAATGGGTCACTTGCGCATCGGGGGTCACTTGCGCATCGGAGGGTCACTTACGCATCGACCCAGTGGGTCACTTGCGCATCGATGGGAAATGATGGTGAGATGTGGGAACTGTCAATGATTTCAACTTGGCCCACGCGGCCACGTCATCACATCTTACCTCCGGGTGGGGTGGGGGGGGGGGGGGGGGGGGGGGGGGGGGGTGGGGTGGGTGGGGATCTAATGGAATGATTGGCCCACGCGGCCACATCATCACATCTTACATGTGAGTGGGGCGAGGTGGGGGGTGGAGGGTGGGGTGGGGCGGTGGTGGAATCCCCCGCAATGGGGCGTCAAACAACAGTGTCAACCTGGATCGGCTGACAGACTAGCAAGTACACAAGAGCGTGCGAGCGAAGGCGAGTAGAGTGGCTTTTCTCTCGCACAAAGTGTACCTTGAGCAAAAAATATTTTCAGTACGCATTGTCTAAGAGCATCATAGAACAGTAACCATGGTGGAATCCAACAGCATGCAAGAAGAACCTGCAAACCGGAAAGAACAAAAGCAAACCGGAAACCCTTTCTGTGCAGCCGTCCAAATCACTCGCAATGTCTGCAAAAGAATTAAGCTTGCTTCACGATTCGTCTCCGGAAGATACGAACGGCTCACGCGATCGTCGTCTCACACCCACCAATCAGGAATTACGACCGTCTGCCAAATGTCGAGGATAAATGCCTTCTTCAGCTGGCTCTCAATTGTCTCTAGCTTTAAACCAGACCGGGTGTTCACCAACAAAACCCCTGGAATATCGCGAAACAATGGAACCTGCTTCAGAGAAACTTCCTGGATACCCTCGCTCAAATCGTCCGGATTCTGCGTAAACAAAAGAACCTCCTCTCCTACACCAGCACGATAGCCAGACAAAAGAGGCTCTTCTCCGGTCTCTTCGGCAGCTTCCACCTCTACAGGCTCTGAAGAAGATGCAGATCTCCTAGTCTCCCTGACAGTCTCAGGTCCGTGAACGTAAACGTTGTATCCGGATGGCCTCGACTCCGAAGCAGCAGCCGGCTCTTCCTCAACGTAAATGTTCCTCCAAGCAGTGACCTCAAGATCAACAGGCTCAGCTTGAACCTCTTGTTCGGGATACTGTGATCCAATCTCCCTAGTTGTCTCCTCTGCAGGCGCCGGCAGCTCACGAAAGCTCTCTGTGTTGCGCACCGGCAATTCAATGTGCTCCTGTGTGACTGCTGGACGCCTCCGAGGCTTTGGAACGACCTTGACCTGGTAGGTGTACCACGTGTGCTGCGGCCTCGAATAGTAAGCGAAGTAGGCAAGAAAATTCTGGAAAAATGCAAAAAAGTCTCACGGCGCTTCTTTCTCTGAGCTGATTTTCCGCCACGCTCACCTCGGGGCCGCTTGTCCATGCACAGCCGACCTACGGCTGATAACCCTAAGAAAGAAGCAGCGGTGTATCTCCCTTTGTGGGAACTTCCGCTACGCTTCCGAAAATCACTCAACGAACCTCGCGCGTCGGTACGGACAGACGCGCCTTTTCTCCTTGAGCCAAAACTGTTTCATAGTCGGAAGCTGACAGTACGACACTGTTCGAAAGGAAACTGGAGTAAACTGTGCTATGACTCCTGGTTTTTCTTTTTATATATTGAGAGAGATATAGATATAGATACAATAGTAGTAGTAGTAGTAGTAGTAGTAGTAGTAGTAGTAATAGTAGTAGTAGTAGGAGTAGGAGTAGTAGTAGTAGTAGTGTAGCAGCAGCAGCAGCAGCAGCAGCAGCAGTAGTAGTAGTAGTAGTAGACGCGACGCACAAGCGACCCAAAACGCGACGCACAAGCGACCCAAAACGCGCTACACAAGCGACCCCCCGCCCCCAATTACCCCACCAACATCAGTGAGTTTCATCCTGAAAATGGCTGATGACATGCCAAAATCTGTACAATTGAAGATCGGCTCCTGCCAGCAAAGCTTCCTCATCGTATTTTCTCCGTCACACAACAATTCGTTGTGACAGCATCGCAGCAGTGGGGCTCGTCACCAGATGCAGAGCAAAGACGATGGCCGCTGGAATCGACCAGAGTAAACGAGATGAAGAAAGCAGCAAGGCCCGTAAGACGCATCATGGCGTTTCAAGGATCTTCAAGGCTAGGCCAAAGGATATCTGGAGCAAAAATACCACGAGACTGGATGAATTTGGTCTTGTCGCTGCATGAATGCAGTGTCTTTTAATCCTCTTTAGTGCATTTTTGCACTACATGCACATAACCCACATGCTTGCTGTGTTGCCATCTGCTACCCGGCTGCTACAGTACCCCTAATTGTTCATTTTGGGCGAAGGTGATGAGGTGATTTAACTTGGCAAAGGCGAACCAAACAGGGTTCCAGGTGAATCTAGTTTCAGCTGGCACTGGCAGCAAAAGCAACAAGAGCAACAAGAACTAAACAACTACGACAACCAGAAGGTACACCTGTCTTTGTGTACTACTTGGCGCTCTGTTGATCATCAACAAAAATCAAACCTAGTGGTGGTTGATCTAAAGTCTTTCTCACGGAAACAAAATTCTACCCTCTTTTGCGAACGCAATGTTTAACTTTCACGGGTGTTATATCCTAGAAGCCTGCTTGGCTTGGTTGTTTCCACGTTTTACTTTCCCAACAAATATCTTTACTTTCGCGAGCTCTTGAAAAAAACAAAACATTGGCAAACAACACCTATGTCGACGTTTAATCAACTAGCATGTGTTGATTCTGTGTTGCCACCAGCAGCGAACCCCAACAGCAAACAATCTGTGGCAAGGTCAAAGACAAGCAAGGACACATGTACAGTGCCAACACAGTAGCAAGAATAACGCGGCGGCATCCGCGAAGATCCAGGAAGTGTGAATCATAGACAAGGAGAACCATCACAGGACATCGTGTGCTTTGCAATTTGTTTACAACCTAGATGCCAGCAGCATCAGTCATCTTGTCTGATCCAGGATAAAAGGGGGACACGGAAGACACAAGGCAACACAAAGCAAGAAGCAAACAACAAAGACGGACAAATCGAGACAGCAAAGCAATCTTTGTGGACTCTATACGCTATGAAGGGACACGAGTGGAGACAAAGGGATACACGAAGCAAACCTTGACGCATTGTCTTGAAGCAAGAAACAATCAATATGTCTTTTAGAAACAATAAGCTACTAGTAACAAGTGCATCGCTTCTAGTAACAAGTGCCTTACTAGTAGTAACAAGAAGCTATTAGAAACAATAAGCTATTAGGAACAATAAGCTTTAGTTTAGACAGTTTTTTTCAAAAAACATGTTGAGAACTCCACAGCTCGGAAAAAAAGGATTCCGGCACTCTGTGTGTGTGTCTTTTGGAAAATGAAGAAAGGCACACCAGGAATGTCTAATTTTATGTCGATGTGGTTGTTTTAAAAAAACACGTTCTTTCTCAAAAACAAATCATGACTCCTGACGCATCCCACCTCCTTCACCTTGGACTCCAATGCAGACCGTGCCTGCGACGGAGTTGCCACACAGACTCTATCAAACGGACTCTTCGACACTCTTCCGGACTCTGCGGATGCTCCACCCTATTTGCGATGGCCTCCAACCTACTGGTGATGGCCTTTTCAACCTACTAGCGACGGGCTCCAACCTAATAGCGACGGCCTCCGCCCTAGTAGATCTAGTAGTGATGGCCTCCACCCTATTAACGATGGCCTCCAACCTAATAGCGATGGCCTCCAACCTACTACCCTGAAGCTCCGGGAAGACAAGTTTTTTTTTTGGCTTCTCAAA